TATTATAGTAAAATTAAATCATAATCAATAATTAGCACAATATATATAAAAGTATTAAAAATTGTAAAATAGTAAAAATTATAATAATAAATACGAGTCAAAATAAAATCATCATCAATAATATTAGCACATATTGTTATAAGTCGAGCATATTGTACAGCATATAAAATTGTTAAAAATTGTTAAAATAGTAAAAATTATAATAATAAATACGCGTCAAAGTATCACTTCCATACTATTTATTTTTTGTTCGTGTTCGAACATTTTGTGACTTCTCAATTATACTATAAGTTATAACACGCACCACGTCGCGAAAAGTACGGTCGCGTCGTACAGTCACGGAACGCTTAGTTTAAAAATATTTATTTTTCCGGGTGGAACTATTTTTGTACCTGTATATTTTTTCGGGCGGAATTTACATGTACCTTTTTTACTTGGATATTTTTCCTGGTGGAATTTACCATAGACCTTGTTTTTACCTGTTCATTTTGGGCGGAATTTACAATCTCCCATTAAATTATAGAATAAAAAATTTGAAGGGGATCATGGGAGCCCGCAGGAAAATAAATTTTAAGAATCAAAATAAAAAAAATTATAAAAAAATATGATAGAATATAAATTTAAAAATAAAAATGGGAAGGGGGGCTTGGGCGCCCGCGGGCAAATACATTTTAAGAATCAAATAAAAAAAATTAATGAAAAAATGTACATTTAAAACAAATATTAAAGACTGCAGTCTACAATATCAGTAAAAAATGTGAACAAAAATGATCAGAGTTCTATCGACCTCTCCTTAGTACAGTAAAATAATGTTTTAATTGAATGAAAGTTATTATGGATACAAAAAAGTCTATGATGGGCTCTTTTACGTCAAAGCTATTTTTTACTTAAATAGTTAAATAGTTTAATGTTTGAATTAAAATAATATTGTTTTTCAAACTGTAACTAGCATACATTTTGAAAAAGTATACAAAAAATTCAAATATTTAATATTTATATAATTAAATTTTTGTTTTGTTCTTAATAAATGTGTTGGATGATTAGATTAAGTTCAATGTGGAAAGAAGT